TTTAACTTCTTTGGTTAGATTTATTCCTAAATATCATATACTTTTGGTGGTTATGGTAAATGGAATAACTTTTTTCAGTTCTATTTCAGTCTGCCTGTTATTCGTATATAGAAATGCTATCAATTTCTGTATATTGATTTTATACCCTGCAACTTTACTGTAATCATGTATTACTTCCAGTAATTTTTCCATGGAGACTATTGGGTCTTCTATGTATACAATCATGTCATCTGCAAATAGAGAGAGTTTTGCCTCTTCATTTCCTATTCGAATGCCCTTTATTTTTTCCTCTTTTCTGATTGCGTTGGCGAGGACTTCCAGTACTATATTAAAAAGGAGTGGAGACAGTGGGCATCCTTGTCTTGTTCCTATGTTTAGTGGGAAAGCTTTCAGCTTTTCTCCATTGAAGATGATGTTCACTATGGGTTTTTCATAGGTGGCTTTTATTGAATTGAGAAATAGCCCTTCTATGCCAATTTTGCTGAGAGTCTTGATCATGAAGGGATGTTGTATCTTATCGAATTCTTTTTCTGCATCAATCGATATGACCATATGGTTTTTATCTTTATTCCTGTTAATATGATGTATTACATTTATGGTTTTGCGTACGTTGAACCACCCTTGCATTCCTGGAATAAAGCCTACCTGATCATGGTGTATGATCTTTTTTATAAATTGTTGAATACGATTTGCTATGGCGAGCACACACACCCTATAGCAAAAACCTCCCCCTACACCTCCCAAATTAAGAAACCTTTTGGGACCAACAGATGGCACAATGGTTATGTTGCTGGACTCCCACAGTCAACCATGGTTCAAGTCCTGGACCCAGCAGCTTAAAACTCACACCAGACATGTCTGTGTGCATGCCCAAAATCCAAAGAGGAGAATGAAGGAAAAGGGATTGCGACATAGTCATCCCCCGAGGGGGTAATTTCTCTTTTCCCCTCTCTGTATCTGTCTGTCTCTTTCTCCCACAAGTACATGTGCCCTATAGTAAAAACCTAAAAAAGAAAGGAAACAAAATCACTAAACTTTAATCATGTCTCTAGAATTAACTACTAATTTAACAAGATATTGAGGCAATGGAGGAAGAAGTTAATAGCACAAAAAGGCCAAGTTTGCAATATGGGGTAGTTGCTAGGACAATTAACCTAGTGTTCCCACAAATCAATGATATGAGGAAGAAAATGGGTTGAAGACTCACAAATAGGTGAGACATCTTATAAGACTTAAGAGTAGTAGTAATGATTTCTACCTTAACTGTTCTAAAATGGTACTGGTTAAAGTAAAAAAAAAAAAGAGGTCTATAATAGCAGGCCACAAAGAATTTAGTATAATGCTATCACCTGCTTTATAAAGATAAGTGAGTCCTGTTGGACTGAAGTCTGGACTTCTAGTAGTCTGTACAAAACAGGAGACCCCCTCTATCCCATTAGCTTCTTCTATTTTTCTTTTTAAAGGTAGGTCAATATTCATCATATTTCTAATAAGCTATGAGATAATACCTTTTGTTTTTCTCTATCTACTCTGTGGAAATTGGTAGATTTCCCCGTTGCATATTCTCTCTTTTTTAATTTATTCATTTATTTTAGTTCAATCAGAGAGGGACAGAGTGAGAGAGAGAGGAAGTGAGAGCAGGCTGCCAAGCCCAGGACTCAAAGCTTGATCAGCCATGTGGGAGTCCAGCAGCCTTAACCACCATGCCACCTGCTGGCCCCCCCGTTGCATATTCTTTAATAAAACTGCGTAAATTACCAAGATAGTATCTTCTCTTCAACAGATTAAACCAGAGTTTGTGGGTCATTAGATTCATTGGACTATGATGCAAACACTAGTATTTTCTAAAATTTATACTTGACAATTGGTAAGTAAATCTTAGTAACAGGTGTGAATTCTACCACAGGTGTATTTTAACCCCTACA